CTGACAATGCTGCCTTTGTTTCTTGGAAGGGTCTTGAATCAGTAGATACACAAATAATCCCAACCAGAGTGCCATCATCATCATAGAAAGGGGTATCAGTGGCAACAATTACAAATCTGTCTCCTTTCTTGTTCTTGACAGGGAACTGACCAGTCCAACTTTGCCCCATTGCCACGAGATCGATTATATTGCTGGCAATAGCATAGTCCTGGGCATCTGCCAAAAGCTCAACGGGATCCTGTCCTAAAGCTTCAGCTGCTGAATAACCATAAAGATTCTCAGCACTCCGATTCCTGCACTACAAGTTGCGTCAGTATTGCCCCATACAAGTTACCAAGTTTCAAATATCCTTCCTAGGTCCAAGATTTACAACACAAAAAAGAGGACCAAAGAAATAGTCCATCATTGCAGTTTCACCATCCAAGCCACATTACTTCTGAACATTTTTCACTATGCAGTTCAGATTTTCAACCGACATATGAGCATGGTAAAGAGCCAAATAGTAACTACTGAAATTGGTACGATAAGGAAGATAAAAGGAAACCTTATGACATAATAAATACAGCAATATTAACAGCAATAGCAACTACTAATGCTATGAATTCCATTTCGAATCGAATTACTCACCAGTAAATAATACGACGATTAAGATCAAATATATGCACAGACTGCTCCATTGACTGCAATATATTCAAATACTGCTTATCAGTAAATTTTACAGCAGTCGGCCCACCACCGCCACCAACAGCAGCATACGCATCCCTACTCCTACTTTCCCTTCTCAAAGGTGAGGAATGCCGAAAAGAAGCAGAACCCTTTTTCCACGCGGCCACTATGCCACCGTCAAAGCCAACAGCACCACCACTACCCAGCCGCCGCGGCCCACGAGAACGCTGAGGAGATATAGAATGAGACCTTTGTTGCTGCCTCTCAGATTTCTCATCAGTGGTTGAAATCATCAGCTTAGACATCTCTTGCTTCAAATGGGCATGCCCTTCTTCCAATTCTTGAATCTTCTTCAGCAGCTCCTCAGCTGGGGGTGTTGCAGCTGCTGCTCCTGCTCCAGCTGCAGCCGATTTTGTCCCAATATTTTCCATTTTCCGGCTAATTTAATCGCAACCCACCTCAGAAAATCCAATCTTCTACCATAATATACACAAAAATACACCCAACTTGACTCTTGCTAAAATCGTTAGCCTTTCGTGCTCAAAAACACAAAAAGAAGAACATATATCACTCTATTTTTTGGAAGGATTGCTTTCCCAACTAATAAATGGATCTGAAAACAATTCAAAAAAGAGATTCAACCTCTGTAAGCATGTTTATCCATACTTTCATGAATTGGAGCTGAAAAAAAGAGTTGATTGATGGGTCCTCAAAGGTCAAGAAAAACTATTTAGTACTGTACCATTTTGGGTTCTTTTTTCTCTCTCCTCTGAGGACTTTTTTTAAAATGTAAAACAAGAATTATTAAAAAGATTTAATCAATGGATTGTTGCGAAAATGTCTACTATATCTGGTTTATTGTTCACCCTCTTCTTTTGTCTTGGACGCGGGTGGGCGGTTCTGGATTTTGGTGGCTTCTTCTTCTTTATCAAATTCATCCTCTGCCAAGCTGACCACTTCGACCGGTTTTTTGTTTATAGTGATGACCGCCAAATTCAATCCCATTCTCCGTGGTGGCGCGTGATGTGCACGCAACAACTGTCTCCCGACTGCTTCGCGATGTATCTGGCTCAGACAGAGAAGGGTAGGCTATGGCGCGTGAGGTGTTATTGGCCCACATTTCAAATTAAAAGGTTCAAGCAACTAAATCCAGTCTGGTTTTTTAATGCCTCCCATCTCTTTCTTTCCACATTAATTTTTCCTGGGGAATTTGTTTATAAATGGCCATATGTTCGTTGGACTGACTTTGAGTACACCTAAGAGTCAAATTACCAATTTGCCCACCGTTGAATCCATCTAAATAAATATTGTATTTAATGGCAATTCCAAATGCCAAGATTTGATGCTTAATTCAACTAAAATAAAACTAGAATAAACTGAAGGATAAATAAGTGGTTGAAAGTTATCTGTAAGGACAACACGCAGAATTACGAAAGATGTCTAAGTATTTATTTGAGTTCAGTCTGTTTGAATTGTTATTTTTTAGAGTTTCTGTTGAAAAATTTACGTGTGATGCATGTGAAATTATATATTTTTTAAAAAAAAAAAAGTGATTGAAAAATATATTAAGAAAATAGTAGCAGTACTTCAAAAGCTTTTCCACGAAAACTTGTCTAATCCGGGAGCTCAAAAGATCCACTAACGTCATTGTAAAAAAAGTAGTGGATGCAAGTTGTTTGTTCTTTCTTGTAAAGAGAGTCAAGTGGAGGTTCCAAATCCAGCCTGAATATAAGGGTAGGATTTGCGTCCCACATAATTTTGGTCGTGAAATTTTAATAAGTTTAATTTTAGGGTGTTTGACTATTTGCAAATTCCTTCCTCGTGGCTGTCCTGTAAGGTGTAAAGAAGAAAAAGAAAGAAGATGCCGTGTGGGAAAATTGGTTAAGAGAAGAGATTGGGGATTGGGACTGGGATAAATCAGCAAGAAGGTTGTCTAAATCAGTACAAAGCGGAGTTTACCTTTCTGGGTGTTGGATATGTGCAAGTAATATTATACCACATATGGACAAGCATTTCTGTTCCCCAACCTTCATCACCAAGGAACCAAATTATTGCTCGAGCAAGAGAAAGCAATGCAGGTTTTGCACTGCCTTCTTTACTTTCTTTTCTTTTTGCCCTCAGATGACCATCACGTCTCCAAAATCCAAGACCCTCCTGCATCATCATCATACAATTATCCATGTTACTTCGATGCAAAGAATCCCTCTTTTTTCCCTTTCACAGAAAAAGAAAAACCAAAACAAAAAAAAAATATATATATATATATATATATATAAAACTAAAAGTGCAAACCAAGGCTAGGTGGCACCGTGCTTGATTTGATTAGAGGATGATTGTTACTTTGTGCTATACGTTTTATTCATCTTTTCTTCAATTCTTATCCCCAAATTTATTCTGGGTCACTTTCATTTCTTGAAGCAAGACACAAGACAGATTGATTTATTCTGGGTCTCTCTCTCTTTTTCTGAATTTTTTTTTGTTATTATCCATTTTCCGTGCACAACAAGATTGTGGTTGGATGCACATAAGTAATGATAGGCATCACGGGAATGAAATGAGAGTAATTGATTGATTATGATATACTACTACTACTACTTCCCAAACAATTTTACTACTTAAAAAAAATGAGGAAGGAAGGAAGATGATCATTCAATTTCAATGCATGATACCCATTTTTCCTTTTGGTTCAATAACAATACCAATAACATCCTTCTCTAGCTAACAAGAAGACGTCCTCATCTCCAGGAGTCGAGATGGCCAGACTAGGAGGTCAAAAGTGGCTCTTAAGAGTTCGTAATCAATGCAACATATAGCTAAAGATGAAGCCCTCTCCAAGGGCTTCAGCAATTATCTTTTTTGTTATATAATAATAATAATTGTATAATTTAATTTATCTTATTTTACATGAATTTCACCGACGAATGCATGATAGAGGAGGGATTTCACTTTCTCGTAGACTATTCCGCAGCTGCTATATGACCCCCGCCCCGCCCAAGTGCCCAAGTGATAAAAATTGACGGCTGAAGAAAGATGCTAATGCATAAAGCATCAGTCAATTCCTCGAACGGGAATATACCGTAGAGGGGCCCAGAATAGAAAAACCAAAAGCTATAAGCATCTACTACTATCTTGGAGACACTACTATGGACTGACTTTTCTGCCCTCAATGAAAGGCAAGTGGGTCGGTAGTGCTGTTCCTACGACTCCTCACTTTTTAACTTCAATTATATGTTAATCATTCCATTAGAGCACTATTCTGATCTGCATCATCATGTCATGGTGACGGTACAGTACTACTAAACAGGAATTCGTGCTCTTTTTGTCCTTTACTAACCAGGGAAAATTGCTCTCCTTGAATCCAAATGGAATTGGCTTGGCCACCACATGTACCATTAGGTAAACGATCAAGGGTTCAAACCTTATTTTCTATCAATGTGTCATTATATGTGACTTTTTTTAAATCTATACGAGAGTGCATGATGCATTCGTATGGTTCGATGGTAGTTCAAGAGTTCTCTCACGAGAATTGAGTAACACGAGGTAGTCAAGAGGTCTGCGTCAAACTGTTTTTTTTTTTAAAAAAAAAAAAATTTGAATATTTCCTCAAACACATTTCTCAATTTTTTATTTTTTACTTCACATACATTAGTATGTTTTTCAAACAAAAAAAATCATAAAATTCCAATCCAAACGGACTAAAGGTGCATTTGATAAAACTGAAATCTGAAATCTAAATTCAAAATCCATTAAATTATTTAATTGTTAAATATTAAATCTAATACATTTGAGTGTATATCACACTCAGTTATAAACGAATAGTTTATCACTTAATTTTGGGAGCAAATTTTACTTAAAAAATTCGATACCACTTAATTAATTCATATGTCCAATTTTTTATTATCAAACGCGTCTGAATATATTAAAATCTAAATCCATTAAGTTTAAGTGCTAAATTAGATTATCAAACAGGAGCCAACTTTCAAAACCTCATCAATGGTTCTCTTCTTCATAGACAATACTACTAGTTCCATATCCATTTTCTATCTGCAATCTACTTCAACTCGTGCAGAATCCACACTTGCTATCTTGACCAAGAATCTGCTAGAAGAGTCATAATCCGCATACTTAATAGACTCTGAAAAGTTATCTTCCACCATATTAAGGGCATGTCACCAAGTGTTAATTACGACTAAAGGAAGTCTATTAATTTCATGAACCTAAAATTTTGTAAAAGTAACATTAAGTTCATGACCACTCCGCCCAGATCCATCACTTGCATTTGCTTATCTCCTGGAAGATGGATCGAATACATAAATTAATCTAGGTTATGCAAATTTACCAAAAAGTCCTCTCAAAGAGGATCTTGTTTATTTTAATCATCAGTCTAATCTATCTAATGTAGATTATTACAATTATGAAATCAGGAAACAGACCAATGATGCTATCATACAGCCTGAAAGAAAGTAGCAAGACAAGAAGACGATCAAAACTTTCAAGCACCCCATAAAGTAAAAGTGTAAAACTGCTGCACATGTGGATACCCTAAGACCTGAGACGATCTATACTCAGTTTTAACAATACCAGCTATATATACTTCTCAATACAAGCTTACTGTTAGAACCGTATCTATACAGGCTATATATACTTCTCAATACAAGCTTATTGTTAGAACCGTATCACCAGGGTTATCTTTAAGCCAAGAACTACAAACACCTGCTTTGACCTTTTGGCCCCATGTATACTTGCATGCAGTACACAGTCGGGAAGGGAACTTGACGAGTCATTAGTAAACGTATCCCTGTCACATTTCAAGAAATCTTCCAGCTCCATGTGAATACTGGGGTCACAATTCTTGATCAAGGTTGGCAAACAGCAACAGTCAAGCATGGGCACCAATGGCACGATAACAGGCCAAATAGCTGAAATGCCGCAGATCCTGACATTGGATTTCAGTACCCACAAAATAAAGCTTCTTTTGATTGCCAAGGAAAGCATTAACTTCCAAGTAAACACTGGAGATTTAGCACTAGCTTTGCTTCTAGAACCAGAGAGTTGGTTTGTATCCAATCCGTTAATAGACTAAGCCACACTTTTTGAACCTCTCCGCTGCATGGGCAGTTCAAGTGTAATCAAGAAATAACTTCTTTCAGACTCTCTAATATATTGAACTTCTCCATCCATAAGCTTCAAAATTTTCCTGCACATGCTCAGGCCCAGCCCCTCTTGGGTCACCCATCGACTGCTATGGAACATGTCTTGAACAAGTTCAGGAGGAAGACCTTCGCCGGGGCAGACAATCCTTCACAAGAACCAATGCATAAAAATTGTTTCACCAAGATAGCACATGGCATAAAAATTCTCAGATTACTTGGTAAATATGCCAGCTTTTAAATTTTTAACAGCAATTCTCTACATAATGCCGTGAGTCAGAGTAGCCACACAATTTTATGGCAAAATCAACGTCCATGAACGATATGGAACAACTTGAGCCTGAAGACAAGCATCTGCAATAATTGTTATTTGTTCTGGCGGCACTTAATTGGTGGTTGGTTTAGGAGCTTTTCCTGCTTTAATTACCATCCTTGCAACTAGCACCATTTACATCTTTCAACATAGACCCTAATTTTGTTCACATTGATGAAATCAGGCATGTGACTTCAAATGCAGAAGAAACAGTGAAGTGAATAAACATGACTTGTTAAAGCATATGCTAAAACTAAAATGTATATGTGTCCTACTGAACACATTATGAGCCAAATATGGAGAACATACCTAAATTCGATGTGCAAAATGTTTATCCCAATAGAAATTTGCTTCAAACTTGGTTTTAGTTGAATTTCCACCCAACCGCCAGAAGAGGGTGCATAACGCACCATATTTAACAAAAAATCTGCTAAGACCTGCTGAACTCTTGCTTGATCACCATAAACAGCCAGGGTTTTTATTTCCTCTGGAATGTCCCGGATCAGTTGTAGACCTCTTTCCCTCAGCAACAACATTACTTGGCTAACAACAGCATCTATTACACTCCCGAGTAAGAATTCTGACTTCTCAAGTTCCAATGACCTGCCCAAAAACAAACTAGGAATCAGTCATATGACTTGTCCATAAGCAAATCACAAAACACTATCGGAGTAAGATTTTATTTCAAACGGATATCAGAAATGCAAAAACTTTCTAAAAGACTAAAAGAATCTCACAAAAATATTCAAGAGAAAAGCCAGATCATGACTAGAGATGAGATACACTGAAAAGAAAGTCATTGATTTGCTCCCCAAATGACTATCCTCAGACTGGTAAAATAGGGAAAGTAAACAATGACTCTACATGCAAGGGCTGCCTACTGGAGAACAGACGGAAACGGAATGAACGTATGGTCACTAAATTCTACTAAGTTGGTCAATTTGATGCTTTATTTCTACAAGAGTCGCCACGAGAATTTTCATGTCTAAAATCCAAAAAACTTCGCCAAGTTAGCTTGACGGAAAGCACAAAGAAGGATCTAGCATTGAAGCATAAGTGCACATTTCATAAGCTGTTAATAGAGAAATATGCAATTTCAGCAAGAAAGAAAATCATAGAAATGCAAATAATGGCAGCTATTGAGCATTAGTCATATGAAGTTTTCCGAAAATCACAATTCAAAGTTTTCTCAGCAGGATATGAAACTAAACAACCTTTAAGATTGCATGGAGATATTAAACCTTTAAACAAATTACAAATAACTTCCTAAGAGCATCAACCACAACCTCAAGAAAAATCAAATAATTTCCTAAGAGTTGCTAAAAAACTTAATGCCTCATATTACTAGCCAATTTCTCCTTGTTGGTCAGAACTCAGAATATGTGTTTTGACTATGAAAACAACATTAGCAACAATCATGCCATGTAAGCACTTTCCAGTTGTGAATGCACTGATAAAAAGGTTGAACTAAATATAATAAACTCACCCATCCTCAAGGTTATCCAAATTAACGTCCCTTACTATCATTGACATCTGCTTCTCACAAGCAGAACTTGTCTCAATAAATTGCTTTTGGTCGTCCGTTAAATCTGTAGCTTCCAAGAGTGAATTAGTAAAGCGTATACCACTTAATGGATTCTTTATTTCTTGACATATGTAAGCTAACTCTTTCATCCTTGAAAAGCACTTCTTTTCCTGTTGCCTTTGGAGTTTCAAGGCCTGCTGCAATTCAGGACTTGCAATCTGAACAAAACAAAAGGCTCCAATAATCTGGCAATCCATATTGACCCTCTTATTAGCAGTCAGGAGAGCTTGCACATATTTCCCACTTCGGTCAAAAAAAGAGAATGGGAACTTGTCAGTATCCTGGCCTCCAATTGCATTATGCAAAGCAATCATGAACTTAGTCATAGCATCTGCACCTTTCAGCCGACAACAACTCCCAAAAATCTCCCCTACTAACATCTTCCCCATGACTTCCCCTCTGCTCCATCCAGTGAGCTTTTCCATAGCAGTGTTCCATTCAGAACAGCAGGTGTTCTCATCGGAAGCAAATATAGGTGGGATTAGTGGGTTTAGACTGTGTACAATGGCCTTGTAATCACCTTGGATGTGAATAAATTTGTCCATGACCACCTTCTGGCCAGTAACATCCTGACCAACAAAACAAACCCCAACTATGTTATTTGTGTAATCCTTGCTAGTGCAAGCATTGACCACCACAAATACAGTTTTCTTATTTTCTTCAGCTCCAAATGTCCTCAGCTTTATCTCAACATTCTTATCTTCTTCACCTGCATCAACTTAATTCAATATTAGAATACCCATGTAAAATAAACTACATAAGTACCGGTAATCCACATCAGCAGCCTAATATCATAATAAAATACGCAAAGAATTGATTAAACCCATCTATATCCCTTATTGACAGGAGTATTTAAGTACTAGAAATAGCAAAAACAACTTCTAGTTGTAACCCAAGACTTCAAGACAAACCTTTTTCACACATACAGAATCCAAAAAAAAAATGCAGAAGGAGACAGGAAAATAAATACTAAATGGAAGAAGACTACCTCTCAAAGCATGAAGCAAAAGCTTTTCAGTAGTTTCTGCTGATTCTTTTTTAACAATATCACGAACTAAGGACTTCCCCATAGATTCTTCAACAGGCAAGCCTGTCAATTCAGCAACCTTTGCATTCCACCCATTTATACGGCCTTCAACATCTACAGCAAATATTGGTGCTGTTGCAGTCTCTATCAATCTAACCATTTCCCTGGCAACAGAACTGAGTTCATCCATCCCTTGAAACTCATTATCCACAATCTGATTCTGAACAACAGCCTTTGTATTGCTTCCATCAGCATCCCTGAATGAATCTCGTAGTATAAGCTGCAAGGAATGAATTGCATCCATTTCAGCAGTCTCCCATGGCAAACTACGGCTTTTGACTACTTCCAGAAATGCTTTGAAAGAAGAACGTGGATGCATCCTCTGCCCATCATCTTTGTCATCTGGATGATGCTTTGCACCACCCCACTTTATCTCTTTGGCAGTGTGGGAGCGAAACCAGAACAAGAAATCTCTTGAAGTAATATAAGCAACAGCCATCCCACAAACAGCGTCGCCAAGAGAGGCTGCCCCAGGGTACCCTGCATCAGCCAAACTATCAGTACTCAATCCTGTTGAGTCCCCATGGTAAGCCAACAACCATTCAACAATATCCTTTATCTGGGCTTGAGTAGGTGTCACACCCAGTGGGTAGTACTTTCCCTGGTAGTACAGAGCAGCACCATCACATTTCACGAGGTCCATAATGCTGGGGCTCTGTGTAACAATCCCAGTTGGAGAATCTCGAAGAATCATATCACACAAAAGTGTTTGTGTCCTCAAAACATGTTTCTCAGACAACTGTGAAGCCAATTGTAACTCCATGTTCAATTGGAGCCCAAAGGCTTGCATTAGGAACTCACAGGCATAACGCAGAGGGAAAGGAATACAACGAGCAGAAGTGTGGTGACCAACAACCAAGCCCCAAAGTCTCATGGAATTCCGGCCCCCAACACTATCCTCCTCATTTCCATTAATGATGACTGCAAGAGTTAATGAGGCAATTGACCCCATATTAGCCATGTACTGGGCATGGCAATCATGAGGAGCTCGAAGTGTTGAACCAACTAAACATAGAGGCTGCATGAGTGATTCATCCTGCAGCACCTGAACGGAAGTAGCATGACAATCCACGATCATCCTAACCCTATTCTGCTTAAACAAAAACCTTGATGCCTGAGGAATGTCGGTGGCTGGATAATGCAACCCGATATAAGGATCCAAATCCGACCTTTTGCTCTCAGCCACAACCTCACCATGCTCATCCTCATGAAATTTATACACCATTACCCTGTCATAGCCCGTAAGCTCCCTCACACTTTCAACCACAGTATCACACAAAAGCTTAATATCTCCACCGGGGAGTGATTGCAAATGTGAAATCGCCCTCACAGCTAGTTTCTGAGACTGAACAGCCCCAGCAATTGATAAAGCAGGATCCTCAGTCCTAGCAGGCTCCAAGTCAATTACAATCCCAACATCAATCCTATGCAGAATTCCATAAAAGGGCTTCCCAGAATTCTTTGAATGAATCCAAATCGGATTTAACAAAGTGATTTCTCGCGCCCCGAATGCCCTTTCGAGCAAAACAGAGCTGGAAGGGGTGAAAAAGGTCCTTACATCAGTCCCAATTGTGAGGATCTCAGGCCTTTCGAGGCTAGGGACTGATTGAGGAGTTAAACCAAGCATTTCACGCGCATTTTCGCTATAAGCAATGACACTGAACGAAGCCTCGTCTACGGCTATCATACAACCAAAGGGTTGAATATGACCACCCCTCTGGATTTTAGACAAATATGCAGTGATTTGTTGCTCGGGAACAGAGTGTGTGGTGGTTCTAACGGACTGAGAGTAATCAAAGGACTTGCCAGACTCACCAGACTGCTCAAATACAGCATGTAGCTTAGCATCCACGGTGTACTGAGCCACAGCCTTGCTGACTGACTCCCTGTAGTTTACATTTTGGCTTGTCCCTGAAGATTGAGCTTGACCTCTACCTTTAGTATGGTGATGATGAAGACTGCTTGATGCTCTGCTTCCCCCTGAGGCCATCTGTGTTGAAGAAGAAGAAGAAGAAGGAAAGGACAAGCTCACCTTGAGTGTGTGTTACAAGTTTGGATTTTTAAGCTGAATTAGGACAGACATGGAGTTAATAAGAGAACCCGATTGGGTAAAATTTCTGGGAGTGCCAAGAAATTCCCAGCAGATGTATAGGGTTTCTTCTTGTCTTGAATTTTAAAAAAGAAAGAACCTTTTTCCTTCACTCTGTTTTTTCCTCGTCCCTGTTAATTCTGGGGCGGATTCTAATTTCTTGAATCCCCTTCTTTTCTTTTTTCCAATCGGGGAGGGAGAAGCTAGAAAGTTAGCTTGGACTGATTTTTCATTTCATTCATTGAACGAGGTAAAAGAAGAGAGCTGAAGTTGGGAGCTGGGAACTGAGTCAGTCCTACTTTTTCCCCATTTTCTTTCGATTTTTAGAGTTTTTTTGTTATATATATAATTTAATGATTCCCTTGCACAACATATAAATATCATTCGTATGTATTTTGGCTGTGCGAAAGTTGAGATGACATGATGCCGTACAAAGTATTCTGTTCATAATTTGCCATTATTTCAGATTTCACTCAAGTGTAATGCATTACATATTCACACGCACCAACACCGTCTGTTATATGATATATATATTCATGTTAAGAACAGCATCAACATACAAATGCATTTTTTACAAACTTGACATTAAACACCTATTCATGTTGTTAATTAAACTGGGTTGCAGCCTAAATGAAATGACAAATTGTGCATTTTGAAATCTCGTGTATTTTATAAGGACGTGGTTTGCATGCTTTAACGTTTCAAATTTCAATAATATCATTGACATAACCTACTATATTGTGATAGGTTTGATTAATAGATGCCTTGTACTGGTTGGAAAAAAAAACCTTTTTTTTTATCTCGTTGAATAAAACCCTCATGTTTTATTATTGTTATTTTGCAAGCATATGTTATTAATTTTAAAAATATATTTAAATACAAAAAGTGCAACGAATGTGATTATTGTATTTTTTTTTATATAATAAGTTTAATACAGCATAATTGAAAAAACCCTCTTGTTATGATTACTTCATGTGTTACTAAAATCTAGGTTAATTAATGAAAATTTAACTTCTTTGAAAGCTATGCTAAGTTCTACGCGCATAATCTTATCAATTGTTGAATAATGATTCGATGTATTCCTTTTAATCTCTTGTAGGAAAAATACTTTACCTTTTCACATGGAATTTTGAATAAGATTCCGCTTTTTGTTTTATTCCTAGGGCTGCAACGTGAATTAAGTTACTCAATACTTATATCAAATTTGATTGATAATAACTCATTTAAATTGATTCGTCAATTAATCAAATCAAATTTAAACAATATATTATGTTTAATAACTTTTAAACTTAATAAAAAAGATTCCATTGGACAAATAAACAAATTTTAATTAAATAAAAATTTAAACTCGTAAAAATAATTAAATAAGATTAAACAATTGAGTACTTGGCTTAATTAGACTGTTTGATCCCTTATTTATCCATACATTTGTAGTTAATTCTTTTTTTCGGAAACGATAAACCTAATCTATCCTACACTAAGGGGAAGGGGGCGGACATAAGGAGGCCCAAGAATAATCCGGAGGGGACTGAACCAACACCAGATCAGACGAATGCACAGCACATTACCTAGATTTTTTGGAAATAAACCACTTAAATGTGGCATTTTTGGTGGTGGCCACTGAGCCAATGGGCCAGGGGTTGTACATTTGTAGTTAATTCGTTGAGCTGAAAAGTTGAGCGAGGGAACGAACGAAGAAGAGGAGGACTCGTGCAACGTAAGCGACAACTTGCTGAGAGAGTAAAATGTCTGGTTCATTGATTGGTCAAGTGTCACTTAGGCCACGTGAGATTCACAAGCCAATGTTCTTTCTTTTTTTTTTTTTTTTTGGGGTCGTGGCGGTCATTCAATCCGATGTTCTGTCACTAGCTGAGGGCCATTCAAACCTTTTTTCTTTGAACAAATTATCGGGTAGTTACTAAACTTTTAGAATCATTGAATTCTAACCACTACATTATTAAAGGTTTGATTTTAATCATTAAAATATTTAAAATTTAGATTTCGAGCTATTCCATCAAATTTAACTGTTAATTATGTCCATTTCTTTTGTCTCGTGAATCATGCGAGCACTCGAATTTAGCATAATTAACGATCAAATCTAACGGCTCCAAATTTAAACGTTAAATAGTTTAGTGTAATTAAAACTAGACTTTTAATAGTTTAATAGTCAAAACTCAGTGATTTTAAAAATTTAGTGACCATCCAAATAATTTGCTCTTTTTTCTTTGAGGGTCATTCAACCTCGTGTTCTTTGGACGAGCGCCAATTATAACATATAATGTACAGCACAATGAAGGTAATAATACTAACACAATAAATTTATAAGACTAAAAAATGAGTGTCATACAAAAATAATTTCTCTGATCTCGAGAGTGAGTCTACCACAGTGCCTAATTTTGGTAATGTCGAAAACTAAGTAATTACCATTCATAATGTGAGTAATTCATCATTAGAAAAATATTGATTTTATCCTTTAGAAGTATTGATTTTGCATTTCTGAATACTCATTCATGGACTATTTTTTATACTACTTAGCAAAGTATTAAAAATACTCTTTTCGAAACTTAAAATTTGCCTTTACAAATTTTGTACCAAAAATTATTGTAGTTGTACACTTGTTATTCTAATAAATACATGGCTTTCTTCTTTTTTTTTTTTTTTTTTTGCGCAATACTTGACTTGAAGTTAGTATGCACATCTCTTCGATTAGTGCACGCATTGTACTAACAATTGTTGTTGAGGCCCTTAATCCATGTCCCCAAATGCCTTTGACTTTATGCTATCCGCCTATTCGCTCAGCAATCCATTCCCAGTACCCCACAAAAGTAGAATATCTTCTAGTGTGGAAAGTACATTCTACTTTCCACCGTAGGCAGAAGAAGCATTAACAAGACAACTCAGCATGAACATCTCTCCCATGACAATTGGGCCCCAATTGATATAAGGCAACCGGCTGTAGGGTTGGCTTAACAAACCAGGCCTTGATGATGGATGGAACCCGAAAATCCTGAGCGAATTAACGGGTTTTTGCGTCAAAACTTGTGAGTTTTGTTATTACTAATTGGATGCTTAGCATACTAATAGTGTTTTCAGAACAACGATCTCGAGCTTAACATCTCATGTTGGTACCAAGTGGGTTATGGTTATGAAATCGGTTTCTTGTTAATTATTATTACAAGAAATATTTACAATTGGAAAAGATTCAATTCTTGCATACTAAATAGTAATAAATATTTTCAAGAAAAATCGATCAAAATGTCATTTACATTTTTGTTAAATGAATTTTTTCGTCATTTATTTTAAAAATATTAACTTTATATTCATTACAAATTCAAGTTCGCAAATTTTGGTTTCAACTACTTTTTAGCCTAAAATCACCACATGACTCATATGCAATGGTGTTTATGTACAAAAATGTCAGATTTCACTTTTTTAATGGCAAAAATAAATATGAATTGACAAAAATTAATATGGTTCAAGTTAGATCTTGTTTTTTGATGTGCAACAATGAATATAAATTTGATTATTTGTTTAACTATAAATGGAATCTAACCTTTTTGTCCATAAAAAAAATGATCATATATTAAAAGATTCCTAAATGAATTCCAATTCTCGCTCCTAGTAATAATGCAATTGTTTCGAATAGTGAATGTTTCCCCTACCAAATAATTAAACTGTACTAAACTATATCCTAACTTGTCGCTAGTTGTAAAAAATCTGTTAAAAGATTCCTAAATCGAATTCCAAATCTCACGCCTAGTGATAATGCAATTGTTTCAAATAGTGAATATTTCCCCAACTAAATAATTAGATTGTACTAAACTAGGTCCTAACTTTGCCATTAGTTGTATTGAACACGACTGACTACAAATCACAAAATTGACAAGTGCAATGTCAAATTTTGTGTCTTTTTAACTATTAATGTTTTCCACTAGTTATGATGAATATGTTGGATTATAAATCACAAACTTGATGTATACACTAAATTTAAGGTATTTTAACTATTAACTATGTAGCAACGATGTTTAGATGTCAAGTTATGCTCCCATGTTCAATTTAAATTATTCAAGCAAGAGTTTAAATAATATACGAGGATTATTTTGATTTGGGATTTTTCAAGCACCCAATGACTTATTGTCACTTAAGTTTCTTTAAGTGCTCCAATTTAATAATAATGTACCTATATTTACACAATCTTCAGATTTGCTATTTCTTTTTTTTTCCCTGTTTAAAGTAATTTACCAACTTTTATCATTTAACATTTTTCCCTTTCTTTATTTGTTCAAAAGCAATTTTTTGTTCATTGCACTTACCTTCTTTTAATTCTTTTTTCTTTTGTTTAATGTAATGTAGCCAACCCTTTTTCTTTTTTTCGTTTTAACCAAAAAAAACACCATTATTGTCTTAGAACCATACAGAAAATCAAGAAACAAGATGAAGTAGTGGTTAAGCTACACCCAAAAAAAAATGCACGCGATTAACATCTCAAAATTGAGAGATTTGAATGACGGGTATCACAGTAAAATTATAAAATCACGCGCTTCCATACTGTGAATTTCATCTATGCATTTGGGATTTGCAAGAAGTGTACATACCTTTGAATTGTCAAGATTTCTTGGTTATTTGTGATTATTTATGTGGTAGAATAATTCACTAATGTAATTACTCAATTGAAAATTTTCATGTACATACCTTTGCGTAATCATCGATAGTTGGGATAGCCATCACATTTACAAATTATAAGAATAGTATTTTTTTCTTAAAGAAAAAGGAAAAAGGTGGTTAAATTATATTAAAAAAGAATTAAAAAGGATAAATGCAATAAAGAAAAAATGCTTTTGAACCAATAAATAGAATTAAAAAATTAAATGACAAAAATTGGATAAATTACTTTAAACAAAATGGAAAAAACGCCACCTTAAAATGTCTTCCGAATTTCCAAAGGGATAAAGACACCAATTTAAAATAATTGGGGATGTTACATTGGGTCAAAAGGATCTCACGCAAGCTTGAACTGAAGACAGGAAAGTAGAGGCTGCGTTTGGATTGAGTGTTTTTGCACCTGTTTTTGAAAAACTGTTTTTCACATTCCAAATGCTACAGTAATATGTATTTCAAAAACAACTTCAAAAACACCATATCCAAACAATATATCAAAAACAACTCCAAATATATTTCGATTATGTATATTTAATTTGTATATTTTAATAAGTATATTTCAATTTGTATATTTTAATTATGTATTTTAATATGTATATTTCAATTATATTTTAATATATTTTAATATGTATATTTCAATTATGTATTTTAATATGTATAT